ATCGCCTATCACGGGCTATATTGAAGAAAAGGTTCATCATCTAGAGTTTGGTTCAAGTTGGAAAGTCTACTCATGTAGATTCCTTCAAGGAGAAGTTACTTGAAAAAAATATTAGGATATTCAAGAATAATATTCCTAATGGACATGAAGTGCAAGGCCTAATTCAAGATTTCTTCATCCAACTTTATTTCAAATTGTATGTTCAAATGGAATTCAAAAGATCACAAATTCATAATTCAAGACTTCATTCATTTCAAATTCAATGGCATAAGGGAGATCCACCATTCCAAATTCAAGATGCATGAATTCAAGAATATTACAAAGAGAAATTTCATGACATTGCAAGAATGTCACTTTTGTTACAAAGTTTCTAACTCTAAGTAATGCTTAGAAAATTAAGTTATTTCTAGTCTTAATTCAAGTTTCTAATTAACTTCATGCTATGGTACCCTTCATTCCCCATCAAGTCCACATGATCCCCACTGTGCCTACAAACATCCAAGGAAAATAACTAAGGTTCAATTCAACATTAGAATATTTCAAGATCAAGACTATGCATGCTTAATCATGGGCAATTTTAATGTGATCTAAAACAGTCCCATGCAAGAAGTGACAATTTGCCAAACATTTCATGTCACAAGACCAAAGGAATAAACTCATGGTGATGCATCTACACATCAAATATCATAATTTCAAAATTCTGTCCAAGATAGTAACATTGAACACAGGGGCAGTCCAAGCACAAGCCAACAAATGGGTACAAGGTTTGAGAGCAATGTAAGGTGCAGGAGAAAAAGACAGCCTAGGCAAGTGTAGCAGCAAAAATAACGCATAGCAGCACACATGAAAATGGAAATAAAGAGAGTGACATCAAGAAAGTGGCATTGGACATTTCTAAGTAAAAAATATGAAGTTTTGAAAGGAGAGAAAACCCTAATGTGTTGAGATTAAAAGGAGAGGGGGCTGCAAACAAAAGGGAGAGGCATATGTAGCAAGCAAGAGGCCACATTGACACACAGAAAGATATTGAGAGCAAGAAACATTGAGAAAAATCAGAAAAGAGAGGAAGAGAAAAAACAGAAAAAAGGAGAGAAACATTGAGAGCATTCACTAACCATTGAGAGAACAAGAGAGGGATAGAAAACCAGAAGAAGAAAATAGATCATTGAGCACATCCAACAAAGGCCATTGGTGAAGGAAGCTAGTAGCTCTTGGGTATCCTTCCTTTCAAACTCTTACCTCTTTACATTTTGCATGTTTTATTTTTAAGTGATGTCTGTGTTGTATATTGTAGTAAGGTCTCAAATATGACCAAGAAATGTTGTAAAAAAAGAAAGAAAAAAGAAAGAACATAGTGTAGTTGTCATAGTAAAATGAGTTGAAAAACACTCATTTTTACTGTCATGTTCGCATTGCGAGCATCTCCTTCGCATAGCGAGAAAGTTTTTGTGGTACTAAATGTACCACTGAACAACCTGTTTTCCCTTGTTTTTAGCCAGCGAGTTGTTCGCTGGCACCTTTGCACTGTGAACTTTGGCACATTTTGCCTCTGTTTTCGTTCGCTAGGAAGTTCGCACAACGAACTTCTTGCTGTTTTTCCTGGGCAGCTTCGCTGCAAGGTTCGTACAGAGAACTTCAGTCCCTTTTGCCTCTGTTTGCGTTCGCTGGGAAGTCCGCACAGCGAACTTCTTGTTATTTTATGGGCAGCTTCGCTGCAAGGTTTGCACAGTGAACTTCCCTTAGTTTTTTTAGTTTTTTCCAAAAATTAATGTTTTTTCATGTCTTGATTTTTTTTCAAGCCGACTAACCCGATGTGGTTGCACGTCCATTGTATGTGGATGTTAATATGGTCATTTTTTACCTTTGTTTTTCCAAAAAAAAAAACTATTTTCAAAAATAAACTCTCGATTTTATCGAGCCATTTTCAACCTTGTAAGTCGATTGCCTTGTGCGTCGCCATCGACCTTATTCACATCACTTCAAACATTTTACAAGCAATAAAACCTTGATCCAACATCAAGTGGTATTTTTCTCATAAAAAATCCAAAACACAATAAAATATGATTAGGGTTGTACACCATTGGCTTTAAAGTGGTGGAGAAGGAACGGGAATGGAGCCCCTTCTACACTCGTTCCGAATGTTTTGAATACAAGGCGCTCGACTTGGTTATTCAAAACATTCATCTCTATCCAAAGTCTTTAGTATGATCCTAATAAAAAACAATTTCTTCTCAAAAACCTAAAAATAACATCAACTCATCAAACTTCTTTTCGCCTTAGGGCATCAACCCGAAAACCCTTTTTCAAGGTATAAAATCAACCAACAAACAACCATTTCACAAGCCTCCGAACTACAGAGCTCTGATTCTTCACTTCTTTTAAGTGAGGATACGTAGGCACAAGGGCCACAATCTTTGGTGAGCAATATAATAAAAAACCAACTTCTTTCTCCCTTAAGCAAGCAAACTCTTAAATTAAAACACCCATTCAAGCTAAACAACTTAGAAGGTTCCCATCGAGTACGATGAATGTGAGAGGTGCTAATACCTTCCCCTCACATAACCGACTTTCGAACCCTAAAACTTGGTTGCAACGACCATGCTCTTTCCCTAAAGGTTTTATCGTTATTTCCCTTTCCCTCCTTGGGATAAATAAAATTCGGTGGCGACTCTGCGTCATTTTTCGCATAGCGACACACCCTTAGCTTCTTAGCAGTGCATTCATCGATCATCAAGGGGGTTCCTATAACACTAACTATTTTTTCTATGCTCTTTTCTCCCCAGTAAACCAAAGGAAATTGTGGTAGCATTGCCCACAAAGGGATGACTATCATAATATCAACCTTTAGTGTGAATTCAGGGTTCCACTCATGTAGGAACATAGGTTTTCTATATATGGTATAAGGCCCCCTTCTTAGGACTTCATCTCTATCAGATTTAGATTGGAGTTTTATAATGAATGACCCTTCTTCATTATACTATAGTTCTGGGGTGGTAATAAAATTCTAAATAGTGTTCATGAATTTTTTGACCCTATTAATTGATAGATCCCCCTAAGCACATACATGATCAAGCTATTTTCCCAGTATTTTAATTTTGAAACTATATCTTGTTCATCTATGACTACTTCTAGCTCACCATCAATAACCATTAGAAGGGAGACGATTACCTCGAATGATGTCCACCCATGGTTTTGTTGTTGCGTGTTCTTCTTTAGTCTCCATTCTTTCTTCTACCTCTTATTCTATGACTTCTAGAGTGCTTTCTTGATCTTGCCTGATTGTTCCATTGTCGTCATTCTCTTTTTCTTGGATTTATGTTGTTCTCGATGTTTCTCCATACTGATTCATCTTCCCTTTCTTTCGTGCATTGGCTCCTACCGTTGTGGTTGAGTGTTAGCACAACAATCGGGGGGGGGGGGGGGAGGGGGGGAGGGGGTGAGGGGTCAAGCGAGAAGCATTCTAAATGCTGGGACATCCTTCTTAGAGCAACACATATTAGTGAGAGACACACCATATATTCACCCAAAACCTTAAGGTGATAAGTGAGTGGGTTCTCTCACTTATAAATGCTCAAGTCACCATATTTATATCCAATGTCGGACTATTTTCCACACTACTAACACTTGTAATTCTTTTTCAACACTCCCCATCAAGTGTGAGTCTACCACAATGCTCCCCTCAAATGGAAGCTCTTTCTTCCACATACAGTTGTACTGCCGTTGTACACTCTTCAACGGGACACTCAACCACATGCAGGACACCTACCCATGCCCATGTGAGATACTTTTGATACAAGTAAGTTGGTCCCTTTCTCGAACCAAAGGCTCATGATACCATTTGTTAACGCCACAATAAGGGGGGGGGGGGGGGGGGTCGAGTGAGGAGCATTCTAAACAGTGGGACATCCTTCTTCGAGCAACACACCTTAGTGAGAGACACACCACATATTCACTCAAAACCTTAAGGTGATAAGTGGGTGAATTCTCTCACTTATAAATGCTCAAGTCACCACATTTCTATCTAATGTGAGACTATTTTCCACACTACTCACACTCGTAATTCTTTTTTAACAGTGAGAACACTCTCACCATCGTCAGAGGTGTTGTAATCGTCTGTTTCTTCGATCGACCACACCCTCTCCCCATGCCCTAGGTTCTCAAATCGCTACACTAATCCGTTTACGGTGGTCTCTAATCTGAAGATTAAAAATTTAAACCCTCATAGATTTAGATTAATGTCGTCAAATCCAATTTTTTGAAACCCTAATACGCAGGAAATCGTCACCGTCGTTACAAATTCTCGTCGAAAATCGCCACGAGAAACTCTAAAAAATGAGTTTTCCCATTTTATTACTGTTATTATAAAATAAAATTAAAAATACTTTATAGAAATATAAGTTAGTTGAAAAATAATATTATATACCGTAATTTTTTTATAAATATCATATCAAATATTAAAACTAAATTAAATATTATTCATCCTTAAATATATTTCAATTACATAATTTAATACTTCGATATCAAATATATTTTTAATAAACTAACATGTCATACTAATTTTGTTAATAAAATGATTTTTTACACGCTACAAAATCAACATAGTTTAATTTTTTTTAAATAAAGAAACTTATAAAACTTAGCTCCATCAATTTCACCTCTATATCAAACATATACTAGTATTAATAAAAACACATACTAGTAATATGTGTATTTAATAAAGAGGGCATTACTTATTCTTTTTTTGAGGCATAATTAGTGTGAATCGGTGGTGAGGTAATAATAAAAGCTGAATTAAAGGGTAAAAAGGGAAATCCAAAAACTTGCATGCAAAAACTCACAATTTAAGAGGTAGATTTTTGAGAAGCTTGTGAATAAAATCATACCAATTTATTACCAAAATTATTCAATTTCCTTATATAAATACAACCCACCAAAAACCTCTCTGTTTTAACCTCCTCTGTTTCTACTCTTTCTCTCTATTACCATACAACACAATCATCATGATTTCTCAAACATCATTTTCATCTTCATCTATGAAGCTTTTATTGTTCATGGTTCCACTCATAACTATTGCAGGATTAGTTTCTGTATTAGGTCCTAATCCTTCTAATTGGACTCTAATCCAAAATCCACCTCTCTCATGGACTTCACAAAATCTTGTTGCGGTTGATTTTCATGACTCTGTTTTCAACCAATCTTCTACACCTCCAATTTCTATTCAACCTATTATTCATCAACCATTGGTAAGATTTATTATTATTTTTTGTTTTTATTTTGGTATTTTTTTGAAAAGTCAATATGTTTTTAAGTGTACTGTAGAAGTTTCTTTGTTTGATTTTTATTTTCATAAACCTAATTAAATATTATTTTTATCAAAAATTTAATTTGGTATTTCTCAAACCTTTCTTTCTTTTTAACCGAAGCTCGTTTACGTAATTGATTTCTTAGTAAAATGTGTTTGAAGTTTGTTAGTAAATTGTTTAAGAAGGAAAGAAAGTAAAAAAGAAAAGAATTTATGAATGTGAGAAAAGTTAGAGAGAAAAGTTATATGCTATTCTTTTCTTTGATGATATGATGAATATAACTAGAGATGGAATCTGCAAGATTTTGTAAAAAAAAAAATTAAGAAACTAGAATATAATTTTTAAAGTTTTTTCTTTTTAATTTCATAATATCAGAAGAAAAATGTTATTATTGGTTGACAAATAAAAAATATTTTGGTACATACTATTAAGAATAGTTAGTTCTAATTTGGTACCATTTTATTTTCAATGTTTGGAATTATATTTTGGTTTAAGTGAATTGCAAATTTTTAAATTATAATTAATATTTTAAAATTGACATGTAACAAAATTTTACAAATTTCAAAGTTATAATTAATAATTTAAAATTGACATTTGACATAACTTTTTTCTTTCGTTTGAGAATTGTAATATACTAGTAATAATTTATTTATAAAAAATTGATAATTTCAAGATAATTTTAGCCTAAGAAATTGAAAGATTTGATCTTATGGAAATTGATGTATGATGTTACCTTGTTGTTCCGTAATGTAGGGGTCTAAGAATTAATTACTGATTTAAGACATTAAATTTCTTAATATATATATTCTCTTCATACTAATTTTTTTAATATATATTCTTAGTTATTATTCTTTACTTTACATTAAAGTTCACTATTAGTTCCCTCAACATCAAGTTACTGCTGCAACTTTAATTTTCTGGAGAAAAGTCTTTTGCATTATTCTTAGACTATATTCATTCAACATTATTCTTAATCCATTTTTGAACATTCAACCCTAAATGTCATATTCTCTTTAGAAATAGTGAAAAAGACAAAAAGGTTACATAAATTTCTCTTGTTTTATTTTTGAATTAAATTTCTACAAGCATTCTGATAAGTACAAGATTTTATTTTTCTTTATTATAGTTAAAATTAACATACAAGTATTTAATGAACCATCAATTTTTTTCTTTAGGAGAACAAAGATAAAGAAAATCTCAATGTCTCCCAAAATTTTCCCAACAACACAAATTCTGTGAATGAATCTCATATTCTTCAAGAGAAACAAAACCTCCCAAGAAAGTTCAGCATCTTAGACAGAACAGAAGCTGGTTTACTACAAGCTAGAGCTGCAATAAGAAAAGCAAAATATGGGAATCAAACACAAGACATAGATTATGTTCCAACAGGACCAATGTATCACAATCCTAATTCATTTCACAGGTAAATAATGCACAATATTATTACATTTTATTGCTTTGATATAACTCTCTCACCTTTGCAAATTTGTTATTCGTTATGTTTAGGAGTTACTTAGAAATGGAGAAACAATTCAAAGTATTTGTGTACGAAGAAGGCGAACTTCCGGTTTTCCATAATGGACCGTGCAAAAACATATACTCAATCGAAGGCAATTTCATCCATGCTGTCGAGATGAATGATCAATTTCGAACAAAAGACCCTGAAAAAGCACATGTGTTTTTCCTTCCTTTTAGTGTTGCAATGATGGTCCAATTCGTCTATATACGTGACACTCATGATTTTGGTCCCATTAAGAAAACCGTCAAGGACTATATCAACGTCGTCTCGGAAAAATATCCCTTTTGGAATCGAAGCCTTGGAGCGGATCATTTCATGCTTGCTTGCCATGATTGGGTAAATATATCGCCATCTCTTAAATATATTGAACTTACTAAAAATATATTACATTGCGACTATAGAGTTGCGATCAAATGTTGATGATACAACTGTTAGAATTTGTTGAATATTGTTTGAGCTAGTTACAAGTTATTTATGATTAGAGTTGAAGTAAAATGTTGATACAATTGTTAGAATTTGTTGAGAGGTAGTTACAAGTTAGTTATGCTTAGTTAAAAATTGTTACATTTCGTGTTTTGCATGCGTCATATGTTGTGACTGCAATTTTTCAATTTTTAGGGGCCAGAGACATCAAAGGCAGTTCCAAACTTGTTTAAAAACTCAATTCGTGCTCTCTGCAACGCCAACACCTCCGAGGCATTCAAACCTAAAAAGGACGTATCTATTCCAGAAATCAATCTTCGATTTGGTACAACACATGGTTACCTCGGCGGGCCATCACCATCCAAGAGATCACTTTTAGCTTTCTACGCGGGTGGGCTTCACGGGCCCATTAGGCCAATTCTACTAGAACATTGGGAAAACAAAGACGAAGACATCCAAGTTCACAAGTACCTTCCAAAGGGTGTTTCCTACTACGATATGCTCCGAAAAAGCAAGTTCTGTCTTTGTCCTAGCGGATACGAGGTAGCGAGTCCGAGAGTCGTGGAAGCCATTTACACAGGTTGTGTTCCGGTGTTAATTTCAGATCATTATGTTCCTCCATTCAATGATGTTTTGAATTGGAAATCATTTTCTGTTGAGGTTTCTGTTAAGGATATACCAAACTTGAAGAAAATATTGACGAGTATTTCTCCAAGACAATATATAAGAATGCAAAGAAGATTAGGAAATATTAGGAAACACTTTGAGGTAAATTCTCCACCTAAGAGATTTGATGTGTTTCATATGATACTTCATTCTATATGGCTTAGAAGATTGAATTTTAGAGTTCATGATGATCAATAATGATCAATAACATGTATAACATCATTGATTTTTTTTTTTCATGTAAGGTTTGCAAATTAGTTTTATAAGTTTTTTAATTTGTAATGTAATATTTTGATGATGGCGTGAAATTGTGAATGTGATTCTTAACCTTTTGTGTGAAAGATAGAATTGTTAAGTAATCGTGATATTTTATTATTAACAACTATATGATATGTCGACACTAATACCATACATCAATGTCAAACTTTAAAAAAAATATATTTATAAAATCAAAAATTTATTTTGTAGTTCACGATACTTTTGATAATATTTACTTCTTAACAAATGATATCATTAGATTTGGTGGAGAAGCGAAAGTAAAATCGTATAGATCAAAGTTAATGACACAGTAATTTACGCTTGTGAAGAAGATTGTTGATGGAGTAACTCACACTTGTGAAGAAGATTGAAGAAGATAGTAATTCACGCTTGTGAAGGAGATTGTTGATGGAGTAACTCACACTTGTGAAGAAGATTGAAGAAAATTGTTGATGGCGAATCGAAAGTAAAATTTTAGTATAGATATCTTAGTATAGATCACTGTTAATAACATAGTGACTCATATTTGTGAAGGAGATTGTTGATGGCGAAGCGGAAGTAAAATCTTAGTATAGATCAAGACTACATAGTGACTCATATTTGTGAAGGAGATTGTTGATGGCGGAAGTAAAATCTTAGTATAGATCATGACTAATGATATGGTGACTCACACTTGCGAAGGAGATTGTTAATAAAAAAACGGAAGTAAAATCCTAATATAGAATCTTAGTATAGATTAAGATTAATGATGTGGTGACTCACACTTGTGAAAGAGATTGTTAGTGAAAAAGCGGAAGTAAAATCTTAATATAGATAGACTAATGATGTGACTCAAGTTTGTTCAAAGAGATTGTTGAAATTCAATGATAAGTGGCTAAGTTATACATCAATTAAAGGTTGAAAAAATATTGAATATATAAGAGAAGTGATCAATATCTCATTATTTTAAAATTTTGAGTGATATATTATGTAAAAGTATTTTGAATGCGGAACATTTAAAATCGATTGACATTTCTGTCACTACCCAAATTTCAAATTCTTCTCTGTTAATCAATAAAACACATAATATTAATTATTTTTAGACATTAAATTAAAAAATGTATTAACATATTTACACTCTTATACTCTTATTTTTATGTTAGGAGTTTGGCTATAATAACTAAATTATGAAAAATCAGTAATATAGAGTTTCCATTATTAAATAGATTGCTAGTATAAAATATATAGTTTCCTTTTTTGTGGTAAACGAAAGAAGGAACCTCTTATACGTAAGTGGATTTCTAGCATCAGCATGATAATAGTCAAACATTATAAACGTTACACATGATGAGCATGTGGTCGACATCTTAGAATTTAAGCTAGCAAAATTAAGAAAAAATTATTTTAACAATAATGAATTAAGGAAGATTTAAGGGATAATTCATTTGCATCCACTGGTCAACAATTTTAATCTTACAAACTAATTTTATAAAATTGAGCTATACCGATCTTAGTTTCAAATATTGAATTTGTACAAATTCTATATCTTAGTATTGGCCCTAATGATGCATTAAATAATATTTTTGATTGATTAAAACGTTGAATAGCTCATAAAAATTGCCGCTCAAATTCCAAATTACATACATACCCAATAACTTTCATGTCAAATTAAATGATGATACCATGGTTGAAGATGATGAGCAAGTGAAAGGAGCTATTGAAGTGATGTGCAAGTGGAAGAAGTTGTGGAAAATAACGAACCGGAAGGAGAAGGATCACAAGAGTAGTCACAATCAAACTTAAATAATGGTAGTAGAATATTTTTAAGCATCTTTATCTTTTATATATATATATATATATATATATATATATATATATATATATATATATATATATATATATATATATATATATATATATATATATATATATATATATAATTTTGTTTTATTAGTATGGTGGCTATTTCATAATTAATATTATGGTGGTTAATTCAAACTTTTTTAGAATATATTTGAGGTATATTATAGATTTGGCCGAATATATCAGTTTTATTTAGATGACTATTTTAAAAATATATCGAAGACGTAATTATAGATTCGGGTGGATATATCAATTTTATTTTTTAAGTAATTTATTTTTATTTTAATTTTTTAAGTAATTTATTTTAATTTTAATTTTTGATGACTGTTAGGAAGATTCTAAGGTCTTATATTGATTGAAGATAGAGTATTGAAATAATTTATATATAGTGGTATTCCTCACCTTATCAACCGGTTTTGTATGGTTGAGTTAGACCAAACTCTAATATGATATCAGAGCCTATTAGTCGGACCTTGGGCAATCCATCGTTTAAATTCACACACCAAGCTTAAAAAGAGTGCTAGACGTGAGGGGTGTGTTAGGAAGATCCTAAATGTGAGGGTAAGGCTCCTTATTACTTATTTTTAATGATGTCAAAATGTGTATTAGCTCAGATTTTGTACTTTGGACGATATCAACGCGTCTTAGATTGCATTCATCCTTCAAAATGCAAAAATAACCTAAGTTCATGTGTCTACACATATAGAAGCATTTCATATATGTTATATGTGTGTTTGATTATGTTAGGTAACTTAGGTATACACAAAAATGGCTTAGCTGGACTTAAATGTGAGAAAAGAACCTATTTTTGGAGTTTTAAGGTCTTTGCGTCGACTCATGTCTTGTCCCGATCGACGCATACATGTTGATTGAAAATATTTTGCTCTCGGGTCTGCTCACATCGACCCTTTGGTCGACTCATACTGAATGCATTAATATTTGTTGTTTTGAAGTAAGCTTGCGTCAACGTATGACCCTGGTCCGGTCGGTGCATCACTTGATTTTTTTGAATAGTTTTGCATTCAGGTGTGCTCAAGTTGACCCTCAAGAAGCTTTGGTCGACCGTTCCCTACAGTTAGTCAATTTTTCTGATCAGTTTTAGTTCAAAATGTTGTTATGTTAGATAGTGGGTCAAGGTATCATATATGTTCATTTTGGGTCATTATTGTATATGACATAACAAGAAAAGTGAAAGATATATGCTGATTTTTGCTCATCATCTTCATTCTCTCTTGCATTCTTCAACATCTACACATAAAATGTTTTGTGTATCTAGTTTGGATTGAGGAATTATTGGGTTTTTCTTGAATGAAACTATTAGAGTTTTGTCCTCCAAGATCTTGAGGATTTGGGAGTTTATGCACAAATCTTTGCCTCACAGATTTAGCCGAGTGAAAAGTTTGAAGAATGGTGGGTTCGGTTCAAATGAGTAACGGTAACCAGAGGATTGTGAAGGAAGATTTGAGGTCAACGTCTTGCCATCGAAATCAGCCGAGCGAAAGGTTTGAAGAACGAAGGGGTCTTGCAAACAAGTAGCGGTAACCAGAGGTTTGTTCGGAGCGTTTGACACACTTGATTCGACTTGAATCAAGGGGAGAAAAGAGAATAATATCAACTTCGAAAATTATGATTGAGTGGTGGTGACTATTGCTTCTCTTGTATAAACTTTGCAATGTGATAATAAATATCTCAATTCTAGTTTTAGAATTGGGGGTAGATGTACCCGAAGCGAGAACGAAAATGGGAACTGCCTAAACAAATCCGGTGTTGTTCTCTCTTTCTCTACATCCTTTATTTGTGTTATTTATGTTTGTGTAATTTTGATTGTTCGATAATTTCCTCTGTGGTATAGTGCTAAAATTTTGTTTAGTAAATTTAATTACAATCTCTTGATTGTAATTGTAAAAAATTATGCACCAAAATTGCAAAGGAAAATCAACTTGGGGTGTTGTGCACACCAAGTGTTCGACGAATCGAGTGCACACAAACTGTTTGTGATATTGCCAATTTTAGCTTTTCTTTTACAATTCATTGGAAATAGGATAAACTAAATGGAAATTATTTATATTGATTAATTTCCAAATCATTGATTCGTTTTCTTATTAACTTTTTATTCCATTTGGCTTGTTGCATATCCGATCTTTTCGATAACGGTTCGTTTAGAGAATTTGGTTCCTCGGTCGCTTCCGCATAATTTTTAAAAGCAAATTTTTAAGCACCGACTCTTGAAATAAATTAGTGATCTACTTAACTCCCCTTCTATATCATTGACATCGTCTAACAAGTGATATCACGAGCACCGATTCATCTAGTGCTTTACATATAAATTTTTAGAAAATGGCTAACGAACCAAAAGGGGCTTACAATAGAGCACCAATTTTTACGGGTGAGAATTATAGTTATTGAAAAGATTTTATGCATGTGCATATCAATTTCATTGATAGAAAGGTATGGAATTTTATTCAAAATGGTCCTATGGAAATAATCATGACCGATGCGAATAATGTTGTCGTGCCTAAGTCGGAAGCACAATGGAACAAAGAAGATGAGAAAAGTATAATTATGATTGGAAAGCTATAAATATTCTAATATCTTTTTTGGGAGTTGATGAATATTATAGAGTTTCCCATTGTGCTATTGCTAAAGCTATGTGGGACGCATTGCAAGTTTCCCATGAGGGAACTAATGATGTCAAACTAGCTCGAATCAATACTTTGACACAAGAGTTTGATCTCTTTTACATGAAGTAAGGTGGAACAATTGCTAAAATGCAAAAGAGATTCTCTCATGTAATAAATTTCTTAAATACACTTGGAAGACCCGTTTCCAATGAAGTTTCTACTAATAAAATTTTGAGATGTCTTAATAGGGAATGGCAACCAAAAGTCATAGAAATCAAGGAAGTTAATGTTCTCACTACATTGGACATCACAACTTTGTTTGGTAAGCTTAATGGACATGAGAAAGTGCTCATTAGTCTTGACAAACATGATAAAATAGAAAATAAAGAGAAGGCGAAAGACACAGACAAGAAGTCTATTGCTTTTAAGGCTTCTAGCTTAAAGTCCTCAACACAAGAGCAAAGTGAAAGTGAATCT